GGGATGAGTCCGCCATGGATGCGTAAAGTAAACGTATGTCTTTCTTCTGTAACAAAATTCAGTGCAATCTCTTAACACTGCCGGCTGATTCTTATTTCACTGGTCTTCATCTTATTTTTGAATACATCTATAGCTTAGCTGCGTTTGGCACACAGAAGAGCAATCCAGTAATACCAGTAACATGGATCACCCACACCGATTTCCCTACTGATTTTGATATTTTCAGCAAAAATAACTGCAACAGAAACAAAACAAAATACAGCTGAAACAGTCACAATGCGAAATAAAAACTCACTGGAGCCAGAAACAGTGCGTCGATCGGGTGCTGGTACATTCTGTATGCTTTTTAACGGTTTACATACCGGACAGTCATCACGTACGCAATTTTTCCAATGAGATATGATCTGTCGTGAAGATGCGCAATGAGCATCTGCAACAAATGGCAAAACTTCAAGTTAAGGTAAACATAACAATCTCGTCTGGATTTGGAGTCTGGTCTAAGTCTGGTTGCCATCTGATCCGTTCTTTTAACATGGCGAGATGGCGCACTGTACTGATGATTCCTACCTCATTCCGCGCCGATTCTGCCGTCTGTGTTTACAGCTTAGGGATGAAGCACTTCTAGTGTTTCCAATAATTATCAAAATTTGACTGTGCTCCTCTCCACGGTGGTGGGCCAGCAACGCCAAACCAAATGCAAATGTTAGTGCATAGATGGATTTCAGGCTCCCGTTCTCTTCCAATCTCCTAGCCAGGGATATTCATTGTTTATATCTTTAAAATTTCTACAACAATTAATGAAATGTATCCACAGGTTGGGCGCAGCTGAACCAGATCCTTCAGCCTTGAACTACAAGTTTCAAATTAGTACCCACCGGTTGTTCAATATATGTGCGCTATCTCTTCAAATAACTCCCAAAAGATTGCTTTTTATCTCTTGAGTACCGGCTGAAAAAAAGCCGCAATCCACTGCTTGCCTATGAAACCGGCAAAATATCCCGTCTACTAAATTTTATTTTACTGCCGGTAATTGCAACGATATGTTTTTTATGTGGTTGGTTTACATTTCGCCGTTAAAAACTTACAGTTACAAGCGCGTCCACTGCTGCACGATGTCATATGCTGTAAAACGTCCTTCATCGTTGCGCAGTGCGGTAAAGTACATGTAGATCGGCCATTTACGTTGTCCTAAAAAAGACATTTACATTCTTTCAAAACACATGAAGAAAAACAAAAATTAAACTGCGACGCTCAATTTTTGCTTATTTTTTCACAGTCCATTTCCCCTTCTTCTCGGGAAAGTTTCCAGTTGTAGAGATGGAGAACCAGAGCACAGTTACAACTGGTCATGATGTCCCACGTATTCCTTCCGGCAATCCATCAAATCAATCAAATTCAGCGATTTCGGGGACATT